GATAAATGAAGGTAATGGATGATATGCAATTTAAACAAAGTTTAAAAGAAAAGCATACGAGAAGTAAAATTAAAGTTAACAGTGATGGCTAACCAAGACTAATGGCCCTAAGTGGCCTAACGCAACCCGTGACACTACTTCATGATGCTTTGTTTCAAATAACACTATGGTTCTCAGCATTGCAAGAATATTAAATTTGAGCGAGATTTATTAATATGGATCTAATATACGAAAGAAAGACAGTACACGATATGAATCCATTGTTGAACAATTACGAAATCATTGGGAGTCAAGTTGCATGTGGCGAAAATGAAAATATTATGATAGATGTGTGTAATAAAATTGCAAATTATAGATTGATAAACAATCAAATAAGATGGGGGAGAAATTTTCATGCGTTCAAGATAAGATGGTAAAACATAAACTTGAGATTCTGGATTGTATAACAGGAAGATGTAAATATAAGAAGAAAAGATAAATTAATGTGAAAAAAAAACTGATGAAAAGTAATACAAATCAAAAGTAACTTGACAAGATTTTGCGGAGAAAAAAAAAATGATGGGCAAATAAGTTGCAAATCTCAAACAAAAGCCAAAATGAATAAACAGAAAAATAAAAATGCAATAAACCGACTCCAAAAGGAAGGATAAGGCTTATGAAGATGCTGATGAGAACAAGTTTTCTAAAACCAAAGAATATCAAGATCATTAAAGTTATTGGCATATTAATGTTGGGTTTATAAACAAGAAAATGAAACAGCTTAAAAAAGAAGAGAGGGTGGAAGAAAAGGGGGGAGGCAAAAGATTCAGAGTTATGTTAAAATAAATTGAATAATCATCAATGTAGTGGTAGAGAAGAGGAAATTACGAGTGATGCGGGTGAGGGAGTGTCAATAACGTTGTTGGTGCACCAATAACGTCGCGGGAGCCGCATAGAGGGAGCCGTGAGCTTCTCCCAAGATGTCCTTTGTCTGGACCAAACCGGTTCAAACAACGGAAGTCAATTTGCTCTCCCATGAGGGATTGGCGTCTCCTTTCCATTGGGAGATCCAATTCAAGTTATCTAGGCTTATATATGTGATTCCAGTTTTTTTGGGTTTTAGTTTGGTGCTGTCCCTCAAGAATCGAGTGGCGCATAGCATATTTTATATAAGAGAAAGAGATGCCTTCTTAACTATATGCAAACTCCATGTCAAGAAAAAAATTTTTGCACCTTAGATCTTTAGTAACAAATATGTTCTAAAGATACTACTTGATTTTCTTAATTTCAAAAGCATCATTCAATCAAGACAAATGTTATCATCATGCATAGAAAAAACCATTGTGCCAATAAAAGCGACCATAAAATAGAAAGAATGACTAGTTGTACTTCGAAGTCCAAAACCAACAAAAACCTTACGAAATGTTTTGAACAAAGGACGCAGACTTCACTTCAACCCAGATATAATTTTCTTAAGTTTGCATAGTTCGTTCTCCTCAGAGTGATATGGAATGAAGATTGGTCCAATAAATAACTTTGGTGGCATCCATTATAAAAAAAAAAAGCATTGTTAGCATCTATTTGGAACATAGTCCGCCCAGTAGTACAAAACTAAACAAAGCAATTAAGTACTACGTCTCAAAAATTAATAAACTAAGCAATTAAGGATGTCTCAAAAATTCAATGCCATTAAGCTCTCTACATCATTTCCCCACCAATGAAGATTTTTAACATTGAATAGATCAATATCGATAAACTTAATGACGAATACCCAACGACATGAAATGGCTTTAACCCATAAGATAGTGAGACCATATCACATGTGTGATAATCAATAAAACCATAGATTTAACTGCATGCTTCTAATTAGGATCAAGCAGAATCCCTTACTAAGTCATAGTTATAGAGACAGTTGACAAAGGCAAAACAAACTAAAAAAGAAAGCATGAACAAAGGGAAAAAAAGAGTGTGGTAGGTGGCAAATACAATGTTGTTTATTTTTCTAAAAAGCAATAGGAGTATGTAGACATGAGGGCTCAATTTAGTCATCGCTCAGCCATAGGAGCATAGAGCGGTTATTGAGCAAGAAAGAAAGGCAAACGAGGGGGACTAGCTAGTGGTCATAAGCTTGGCGGAGAGAGAGGCTATGAGACAGGAGGAGAAGAAAAGGTTGGGACTGGCAGCTAAGGTAAGCATTAATCATCTCTGATACCATATTAATGAGGCAAAATATTTTGTTATCTTTTATTCAATAGAAAACTCTCAAATATAATAAAGGAAAGAGTATAGCAATAAAGGGTACAAAAAATTAATATATATTACTCATCAAATAGGGATAACTATATTACCCAAAAAAATTCAAATTTTAAGGTATAATCTATTTTTCACACATTCCAAAAATAATAAAAGATATTTTTAGAAAACTCTAAATTTTAATTCATTTATTTTGATATAAATATGTATAAATATATTAGAATTTAAACTTAATAAAATTAGTTCCCAATTAAATTAATGACTAAAGTTTTAATTCAACGATTGTTCATTTATCTAATGTGACTAGGCCAATGTACTTATCCTCCACTAAGCAGAACATGCAACTTGCGATGATGATTCAAAAGGGCGTCATGACGGAATATTAGCTTAAATAGTAATGTATATAAATATTTACATTTATAATAATTTACTTAAGGACTAAATAACCAATTTATCCCATTACCAATCGTTTAACCAGCTGCGGAAAGTCGAAACAGTAAAGAAATAATAATAGAATTAACCCAAATAACAATAGGAAAACATAATTTTATTGTTGAATTTAAAATAGGGAAATCCAACTGCAAATAGAAAGAGCAAACAGACAAAATATGAACTCAAGATAGGGAGTAGATCTTCGTGGCAGTGGTGGTCGGAGAGGGGCTCGAAGGTGGTGCAGGGGTGGAAAAGGTGGTTGGCAGTAGAAAACAATAAGACAGTTGTTTCCCCAGTGCCGGACAGCAAGCAACAGTTCGGAGTAATGTGTAAGGGCTGGCTGGGGTGATGGCAGCAAGGATGGAGGGCTGAAACGGTGGAGGGAGCAAAGAAGAAGGGCAGCGGCAAAAACAGGGGATGCGGTGGACAGCAGGACAGCGAAAGGGTGGCTGCCCGGTACGGTGGCAGCGAGGTAAAGTGGGAAAACTCCAGGAAGAACAGCAAAAGGCTGTTGTCCAGGTGGCTGCAGCGAAAAGGAATGCGCGGCAGCCAAGCGGGAGGAATGTGGAGGAGTTGGGGAAGGATAAATCATTACCACTCAACTCGGATACAACTCTAAAAGAGAGAAACGGACACCGACAGCTGTCCTAAACAAAATCACGCAAAAACTTACCCTAGACTCCAATGAAAGTGAATTTATAATAATAAAATAACTATGAGGGAACCAAGGAACCAGCCGGCACTCCCAAAACAGAGAAAGGCCTGGACCGGTTATGTCCAGACGAGCAAACGGGAGTTTGTGGGTCGCAAGAAATCACTTGTGTGGGAGAGGCCAACATCAGCTCTGCAAGTCACAGGAAATTGCGCGTGCGGGAGCTGCCCAGGTCAGGATAAGGAGTAAAGAAAATATGAAAATTGGGAAAAAGAAATTTAAGGTTTTAGCATTTCTTTCAATGAATTGGTCTTGATTTTGAGTTGATAGACTTACAGACTTAAATGAGAATAAAATTACCCAGAGAATATTTAATTTTGTTTTGAGTTGTTAATTTAAAAATTGAGAATTGAAGAAATTATTGTTAATAGACTGTTTATGAAAGAGCGAGACTTCAAGGAGAAAAAAAATAAAAATCTATCCCGGTAAGGATAAGATGATTGCAATGAGATACAAAATTTTTAATATATGAAGCAAATTATTTCTAGGCATATTGCTAGTGAAAAACTACAATTATATTCAACTGTTATGAGTATGTGTATAGCTTTGGTTCATTGAGTATGCTAACAGTACCTAATATTATCAATAAACATACTGCATTTTAGTTTATCCCGAAAGCAGAATGGTTTCAAGATTTTCTACATAATTCATATATAAAGATTATTTAATAAAACGCACATTTCCAAATTGCAATGAAGATAAGAAAATATCAATACATCATAGACACAAACCAAACAGAAGGTATCCATTTATAGGAGGTGTGGAGAGCACATAACCAACAAATCACATATACACAAAATCAAGGTGTATAAGCTCCATTAACTAGGCCTTCAATCCTCTGCATGGCTGAGATTCGGAGTGTCCAATCTTTTCCGGATACTAAGGCAGATGCCTGAAAAGGTTATTTGGTATAGCTTTGGTTCATTGAACTGTTATGACTGTATAGCTTTGGTTCGTTGAGTATGCTAACAGCATCTAATATATCAATAAACCTACTGCATTTTAGTTGATCCCAAATTCAGAATGGTTTCAAGATTTTCTACACAATTCAAGTATAAAGATTATTTAATAAAACGCACAGTTCCAAGTTGCAATGAAGATAAAAAATAACAATGCATCATTGACACAAACCAAGCAGAAGGTATCCATGCATAGGAGGTGTGGAGAGCAACAGAACCAACAAATCACATATAGCACAAAATCAAGTTTTTATGACCTCCATTAGCTAAGCCTTCAATCCTCTGCATGGCTGAGATTCGGAGTGACCAATCCTTTTCGGGCACTAAGGTAGATGCCTGAAAAGGTTATTTGGAATAGCTTTGGTTCATTGAGCTGTTATCACTATGTGAATAGCTTTGGTTCATTGAGCATGCTAACAGTACGAAATATTATCAATAAACCTACCACATTTTAGTTGATTCCAAATTCAGAATGGTTTCAAGATTTTCTACATATTTCAAGTACAAATATTATTTAATAAAACATACATTTCCAAGTTGCAATGAAGATCAAAAATACCAATGCGTCATTGACACAAACCAAGCAGAAGGTATTCATGCATAGGAGGTGCGGAGAGCAACAAAACCAACAAATCACATATAGCACAAAATCAAGGTTTTATAACCTCCATTAACTAGGCCTTCAATCCTCTGCATGGCTGAGATTCGGAGTGACCAATCCTTTTCCGGCACTAAGGTAGATGCAATCTTCTCAAATTCCCTAACGAGTTCCTTCTCAGAATAAACCTTAATAGGTTCCACCAGCTTTTCAGTGCCATCAGCTTCACCTGAAACAAAACCGCAGGAAAAAAATTCATGAAATGGGTACCTCATCTGATCTACAAACTGAAACAAAGTAACAATTTACCATGTTTTTTTTTTATTGATGAGCAAAAAACTTGTTCTCAATCAGCCAAGTGTTTAAAGTGAAAAGAACATTATTTTTGTGTCTTTCATCACGAATAGAAAATTACTAATCAATAATTTCTTTGGGAAAGTTAAAACCCCCAACGTCCAGGTTGCAAAGTCAGTAACCACTCAACAGTATGTGCGTTGATTCAAATGCAGTCCCACGGTTGTTTTTAAGTCACAAATTTAAAGTAAATGAACAAAAGCAGAAAAATCACAACGAAACAATCTACTGCAATAAAATATAGGTTTTTCATACTTACCCGAATTTTGTTTTTCTTTTTTATTTCTTCTCTTTTTTCCCTTCTTTTTTTTACCCAAATTGCAACAACGGTAATAGACCCTTCACCAATTATCAAAATAAGAAGGTCAAGAAACCAGTCCTAACAAATGAAGCGGAAAAATAGAAGAACATAGAGGCAAATAGATGTGATCATAATATAGTAGAATTTATCTGACCAAATCACCCACTCGGAGGTCTCTAGTTGTAATCGTTATATTTGTAGAGTCAAATGGCCAAACTACAAGGATGGAAGACTCGAGCTATGTAAATTTGTTGAGAATTGGACCTTGTTTAGGGTCTAATTTGTAAAATGGAAATATTGAAGAAGTCTAAGGATTTATGCGTAAGACATTGTAATACCCAATTTAAGCTCATGTTATGAATGCACAAAATAGGTTTTGAAAAATTCTTTCTGCATGCTATCAGAGCCTTAATCCTAAACAGCCGTCGTTGGTGTTGTTTGTTCGTCGAGATCTACAAGCAGAGACCTGGAACTCTGAAATTCCTCTTCCTTTTGTTTCATCCTAGCAACCTAGCCACGATGACAGGTAACTGGGATGTCAACAAGGGGATCGCGGCATTGCAGTAGTGATCAGAGCTAACTGGGATGGCAACGAGGGGATCGTATTATCCCTCGCGATACAATCGCACCTGGCAGGGGGACAATCTAAGGCTTCTGGATCTTGGAAGCAAAGCCAAAGCCCTTGGTGTTGAACTACTCACCGCGACTAGACGAGCTCGATCGTAGTAGGGGATGCTTTGACAGATCATTCTAGTCATCATCTAGAAGCACTGGCGGGCTCTAGCATGCATGGGATGTGAGAGAGGATGGATGTGTTGTGCTTGTGCATGGACATGTCGGGACTGAGAAGGAGAAAGTGAAGGTGAAGCGTGCTTAAACTTAGAGCAGTGGATGAGAGAACTTTGGTTCTATGTACGTGAGAGGACAACGAAAGTTGGAGAATAGTTAAATTGAGAATGCCATAAGACAAAGATAGCGCAGAAGATAAAATTTTGGAGCTTCTATGAAAGCTAGGTACTAAAAAAAAAGTACTTGGTCCGCCTCAAACAGGGAGCTAATGTCTCGACAGGAGCCACTGCCTCAGCACGTGCTCCGACAAAGGTGAAGCTAGATCTCTCCTGTAAATCTGAAACTTAATGGACCAGCCACATATCGGAGTTGGTCACAGCGAATCGAGGCAGCTCTATCTGCGGGAGTTGAGCCAAAGAGAGACAATGCTGAGAGAGATAAATGAAGGACCATACATGCCTTGCTTTACAAGTGCCTACTCAACATAATGGTAACATTGATCATCTCATTGGTAAATGGCATTTGAAATGTGAGCAACATTTGGGCAAAGCTGAAAAAGATTTACACTTGAGTTGAGAATCACATGAGAGTTTTTCAAATTCAGCATGAGATAGAGGCGCTGGTTCAGCATGATAAATTGATTTAAAAGTACTACATCAAGCTAGAGTGGTTGTGTGCACATTTTGATCACTTATCACTTATGTTAAGCTGTGGTGATCTAAAGTGAAAAAAGAGGGAGATCTTTGCATAGATAAAGACTATATAGTTTTTGGCTCATCTGAACATAATCTTTGATCGGAGAAGATTTTTGTCCTCCTAACTCAAGCAACTATACCGACCTCCTAGCTGAGTCGAGTGGACTTTCAGGTGCACAATCAACCTTTGGCTGCCTCAAACTCAAGTATGATAGATGTACAGGAGGAGACTAGCAAGTGCTACAGCTGCAATAAAGTTGAGAATCTGAGCAAAACCTGTCCTAGGCTAAGGGGAGAGAGACAGCTGGACGTGGACAAGGTGGAAACCGTCGTCGAGGCCATGATGGTCAAGAAGATGGAAAAAGGGGCTATCAAGCAAATCTTAGCAAAGGAAGGAGAGACAGAAGTGGTTTTACTAATGAAGATCATGAGTGTTTTGAGTTGTTGAAGAAGAGGCGGAAAGCAGCAAGAGATGGGGCTGGGGATGCTTCCAAACTGTCGTCGTCAAGGGGTAACATTGACACTTATGCTCACTCCGACAAAAGTACTTGTAATACACATGATATTGCCTCTATTTTCACCAAAGGATCATCAGAATTGATAGTATATTATGGTACATCTTGACGTGATAGATACCCCTATAGAGTTTTCTTCCTATACTCCCCTAGCAGTAGTAGAGAACATCCACACTATTGATGGTACATCACAGCCTGTATTTGTTAAGGGAATAATAAAGGGTGTCAATTATATGACTTTGTCCAAAATATTGCATACTCTTTTTTCAGTGAAACTTTTATCCATTAGTGACATTATTCTCCAGCTAAAATATATTTTTTCTATTAATATTTCTAAGGTGATCTTCCAAGAAAAAGAGACAGGTCAGAGACTTGGGACTGAAACGTGATAATGGACTCTGATACTTGAGCTGGGAGGAGATGAACTCAACTTTAACATCCATGGTAGAGAGTGCTGGCGTAGGAGAATCTGAGAGGAGTGTGGAGAATATATGGTTGCTATATCAGAGATGCATGGGACACTCTTGTTTAAATTTATCGAGTCGGTTGTATCATTCGTTGTATAAAAAAACAAATAAACAAAGGCTTGTTTGTTTCTTGTGAGTTTAGGAAGCTTAATAGAAATTTTTATATCAGTTTTGTAAATAAGAGTTTTGTTATTTATAATTTGATAAATTTTGATATTTTAGGACTTGGTTCTACAAGGTCTATGAATGATTATCGATGTTTTGTGACATTTATTGATTGTTTTTTTTCTCGAGTTACTTGGTTATATTTCAGAAAAAAAAAGAATAATGTGTTTGCTTGCTTTAAAGACTTTCACAAGACAATCCAGACTTAATATGGTGCAAAAGTGAATGTATTTAAATATGATAATGAGACAAAGTAAACTAACAAAGCATTTAGGGAATAATTTAATTGTTGGTCCAAAGGATAAAGCATCAAACCGTTGGTCCATACACACCGGCACAAAATGGAGTGGCAGAGAGAGAATAAACACCTTTCTAGAAGTAAACCGAAGCGTGATGATCACAACCAAAGTCCCAAAGCACTTATGGGAACAAGCAGTTTTGACAGCTACTCAATTGTTCAACAAGATACACTCGAGAGCGTTTGATTAAAAGTCTCCTTGTCAAATGTTAAATGAGATAATAACAGGATCCTCCCATTAAAGGTTTTTTGATGTGTATATTTTGTAAAGGATAAAAAACATAAGTAGGGAAGTTGGATCCCAGAGCTCTGAAATGTGTTTTGGTAGGTTATTTTCCTACCCAGAAGAGGTATGTCTGTTGGAGCCCAATAGAAAAGGGATTGTTTGTCAGCATGGATGTGTCATTTAGATAATTTGAATCATACTACACCCAGAAGGCGATCTCACGCTTTAGCGACTCCCCAAATACTAGAGATATGAGGCAAGAGGGGTGAGTAGCAATGGTGAGAAAGTGATACATGTAGAAGCAATGCATTGTCCTGTTATATGGGATGAATCAGTTAAATAACCAAAAAATGAGGAAAGTTAACACAGAGGTGGTGGGATTTAAGGTGAAGGTGAGTTAAGAGTGTATACACGGAGAAGGAAGCAAAATGATGGAACGATGTCTGCAGTGTCACTTGTGTCAGCTAGTCCCTTATCTTGGTCTTCCTCAATATTGAGACACCTACAGCATCCACCTCCGACGCAGAACTCCCAGGTGATATGATTCCTCCTCCTCCTAACCCCTTGACTTTAAGAAAGACCTCTCGCAACAATGCAGGTTATTCTCCCGATCATTTTTTATGGGAACATGAAATTGCTAACTTTGTTACATATTCTAATAGATCATCATTACATGTTGCATTCATTGCATCTTTGAACACTTTCTTTATACTCAAATGTAGGCAAGTTCCTAAGGAGGATCTCAAGTGGGGAGTAATTATGCATGAAGAGCTTATATCTCTCGATAAAAATCAAACATGGGAGATAGCGCCTCTACTGAAAGAGAAAAAGGCAGTTTGGTGCAAGTGAGTCTTTACAGTGAAGCAAACTATAAAAGAGAAAGTAGAGCGGCCAAACATAAGATATTAACTATGATGAAACCTTTGCACCAGTAGTAAAGACAAGCACGCTAAGGAAACTGGTTTCTCTTAAACTGAATGATGGGTAGCGGTTACAGCAGCTCGATGTGAATAATGCATTTCTTCATGGCGAGTAACTAGAAAAGGCATGTATGTAGATACCGCCAGGACTCGGTATGGTCCAGACAGTGGGCAATGTGTGTAAGCTCAGGAAGTCATTGTATGGCATGAAGTTGTCTCCTCGAGCGTAGCTTGAAAAATTTAGAAAGGCTATGATGGGCATGAGATATCAAGAGATCAATACAAACCATATGGGTTCTTTCGACAACATAAAAGTCACACCATTATACTAATCGTGTATTATGATGACATCATTGTTACCGGTGATGATGAGGCAAAGATTGCCTAACTAAAGATAAAACAGAGTAATGAATTTGAGGTGAAGAATATTAGACGGCTCGGATACTTTTTTTAGATTGAAGTGGCTTGTGGATCAAAGAGGATGGTTTTCTCCCATATA